TTCAACCTGTATATTTATAAAAGAACTCAGATATTGCAGAGTGCCATAAGTCTCCAGTGTTCCCTGTCCTTCCTAAAGGCAGCCAAAACCATGGAAGTGCTGCTGCCCCTTGGAGCTTGTCGCCACTTGGGATGTGGAACATGCATTAACCAGGGCTAGCTCTGTCGTTAGGAAGAATGAGGCAATAGCATGTGCCCATGCAGATATGCACACACTGATATATTGTTCCTGAATCACTGACAGGTTATCCCCCACCCCACCCCTTCCCCAATAGGGAACAGAGTTGTATCTGCTACATGGCCTATTTTGCCCCGCCCACCCAACTCAGTGTGCTGGAGGACATTTCTCTGTCACCATTGTTCAAGTAAGAGTCGTCTGCTGGTCCACCTGGCTGCCATACATAGATCAGAAAGGGGGCACTTTTTCTTCAAGCCGCACAATGTCCTATTAACAACTTATTTGTACTGTATATTGCATCTGGAGTAGAGATAATCACAAAGAATGGGAAAATGTTATTGTTTCTCTGTAGTGTTCACATTCCCTATTATATTGTTGATATCTTGTTGTTAAGGATTGTAACTTTTTTGTCAAGAGAAATCAGTGGACATTTGAGTGAAATCAGGTGAATACTGAGACTTGGAATGGCAACAATGGAAGAACTGGGAAAGATCATTAAGGTTAAGGACATATCACTGGAGACCAGGGTCAAAATCATCCACACTGTTGTATTCTCAGTTACTATGCCTGAGTGTGAAAGCTAAAGAGTGAAGAAAGCCAACAGTTTGAGATACAGTGCTGGAGGAGAGCTCTGAATCCAAGATTCTCTGGAGAAGACAGTAATGCTGGCAAAGGTGGAAGGCAGCAGGAAAAGAGGAGGACCAAATACAAGATGAACTGACTCCCTAAAGGAACCACAGCCTTAAGTTTGCAGGAGCTGAGCTGGGCTGTTGAAGACAGGAAGGAGGAGCCTCGTGGTGCAGTGGTTAAATCGCTGTACTGCAGCTAAAACTGTGCTCACGACCTGGGGTTCAAATCCCAGGTAGCCGGCTCAAGGTTGACTCAGCCTTCTATCCTTCTGAGGTTGGTAAAATGAGTACCCAGCTTGCTGGGGGGGCAATGTGTAGCCTGCATAATTAGATTGTAAACCGCCCAGAGAGTGCTTGAAGCGCTATGGGGCGGTATATAAGCAGCACGCTTTGCTTTTTCGCTTTTAGGAAATTTTGAAGCTATTTTTAAATTTTATTTTATTTAATCTATATCTACCCCACCTTTCAAGAATGACCCAATAGGGCTTACATCATTCAAAGACAATATTTTAAAGCTAAAACAATGAATATACAAATCGTAAAAAGGATCAAACAAATACCGCAGTAGAAGATGGTGAAAAGATTTGCAGATAAAACAGTCAAGAGAAGAGGCGGCTGAATTTGTCCTGTTCATTTAGATAAACCTGCTTCTGGGAAGCCAGGTGTCTCCTATACTTCTGTGACCTCTATTGTACCTGTAACTTAGCACCATGCATAAGCTGGCTGAGATACAATGAGGAAAATAAATAAAATGGGAGGCCCAAATAAGCTTAAACAAATAGTGGAGGAGAGTTTCCAGGCCAATCTTACCCAGCTGCATTCCACCTTGTTTACTTGCCTGGTGTGTGTAATGCAGCACCCCACCTGTCTCCTTTGGGCCTTGACTTCAGTTTAGTCCAGCATCCCTCACGCTCATCCAGGGTTTCACATCAAATGACCAAGCATACTCTGTGATTTTTTCCAGTCTCATAACAACCTGTGCCCAAAGTATGTACTGTATACTAGAGCTGTATACATACAGCTGCAGAAATGTACCCATTGCAACTCCAGCAAGGATGATTAACGTGACTAAACAGCATGGTCATCCTGCTAGCCAGATGAAATACTAAGAGTTCAAAACCATATACAGTATGTTTTATTGGGAGAGTAAGTCCCATCAAACTCAGTGCTCATTTCCAAGCGAACATTCACAGGAATGAGCTGCATGACTACAGATGGAGGGAGATCCGTTTTAGAGAGGCATGGAAGCACTTTCACTGTGTACCCCCTTAATACTCCTATGGCTCAGCTTTGCCTCACATCTTACAACAGTCCTTCAAATTCAAAGGAGGAATTAAAGGCTCAGCACTCAAGGACACTAAAAGCAGAAGGCCTATTTATGCTCCCTTTTAAAAAGACAATGTAGTTTCTTTGGTTTAAATAGAGGGAGGGAGTTCAAGAAAGGGCATATATTAGTAATTCAGGGAAACAGCAACCACAATTAAGTAAATCTCTGTAAACTAGAAGTTTAAGGTAGGTAAGAAGACTGCAGATTCCAGGATGTTTGGGGTGGAGTGAGATTCTCATCAATGTTTAAATGCCTATTTTTGGATAATTAATGATTAAATGGGGGCAGAGAGAGAATCCATTGTATTTTAATAATCAACTTATTTTTACATTTTAAGATAAAATATTGTTTATTTATTTCTGGACACCACCTTTTAAGAAGGCTGGCACCAAACTGGAACAAATTCAGAGGAGAGCACTAGGGATGATCAGGGGACTGGAAACCAAGCCCTATGAGGAAAGGCTGAAAGAGTTGGGCATGTTTAGCCTTGAGAAACAAAAACTGAGGGGAGATAGGACAGCACTTTTCAAATACTTGAAAAAGTACAGAGGAGGGGCAGGATGTTTTGTCAATCATCCCAGAGTACAGGATATGTAATAATGGGCTCAAGTTACAGGAAGCCAGATTTAGGCTGAATATCAGGCAAAACTTCCTAACTGTTAGAGCAGTAGGACAATGGAGCCAATGACTTGGGAGGGGGGGAGCTCCAGTGCTGGAGGCATTCAAGAGAAAGATGGAAAACTATCAGATTTGCTTTGACTTGGATTACTAAATTGAGCAGGGGGTTGGACTTGATGGCTTCATAGGCCTCTTCCAACTCAATCATTCTGTTATTTAGCCAATCCTGAGGAGTTTGTGATTAAAAATAAAACAAGAGGAAGAGGGAAGTGGGGCAGGGTAACAAATGTGACTTTCTACTAATCCAGAGGTGAGGAATTTGTGGCCCTATTCCAAATGCTGTGGGACTCTCCTCACCCCACAGCATGGCCACTGATCAGGATGGTGGGAATTACAGTTGAACAATATCTAGAGACTCAGATTTTCCCCACCTTTGTTTAACCTTGTTTAGGATTACACAGGCTAGGTTGTAATAGGATGACTTTCTTAGCTTAAGCAAATAATCTGTTTCTTTGGAGGGTATGCATGTCTAATATAAGCCCTTCCCGAATTGATTCACACCAGATGTTTGTACAACACTGAACAGAGCCAGCGTGCAGAACCAGGGAGCAGCCTGGAAGTAAAGGAAGGAGCCTCTGAGAAAGAACAATCTGTGTGTGCTCTGAAATGCAGGTAAAGAGGTGAGGGGGCTCTTTCTCTACATTGCACCCCTTAGACTTCCAGCATCTTTACCATCCTGCCAAACTTTTAAGAGCCAGTGATTCGTGCATCTTGGTAATTCCCTCATCAGGTTAATCATACTGCCCTCGTGCCAGTTAATAACTAACTAAAGTTTATGACAAACTATACAGGCTATTATTTTTCTTGGCCCATCTTTCATGAAAATCCGAGAGCGAGCTTTCTCTCTGCGGTGTTCCCAAGATCTGTGATGAAGGCTGGGCGGATTCGCTCCTTTTTGTCTTTATCGCAGTTTATTCTGGTAGAATTTTTGGGGAACTCCAGAAAGTTGGGTGTTGCATTCTTCGCTGGCTGTGCTTCCATGGGAAGCTGGCTCAAATTTGGGGTGTGAGGGGAGAAAAGGGGGATTATTGCTCAATAAACAAACAAATAAATAAATCACAAAGGGTCATCGTTTGTACAATTTCATGGTTTGGCCGGAAGCGATCCCTTTGGCGGCGGGGGCGCGCCCGAGGACCCGGCCGAACCTGCCTCGGCTGCGGCGCCTTTAAGTCTCCCATCCGAGCCGCAGGCACATCCTGCCAAGCCAAACCCCACCTTCGCGGCAGCCGAGACTGCGGCGATGAGCACGAGCAGCAGGGCGTAGTAGGGAGGTGCCCCCGCCAGGCGAGCCGAGAAGAAGCGGAACTCTGGCCTCGCCAAAGCCCGCGCAGTAAGTCCACGACGCCCGCTCGCCGGCCCGGGGGCTCTTTGACAATCCGATTAAGCTCCCGCCGCCGCGCAAGGAGAGTTGCTAATTTGAGCGCCCTCGTCCTCCTTACCCCGGCATTTGCTTCAGTGCCCGGCCTGGAGGCGCCGCTGGACCAAGCGCCCTGCCCAAATGTGGCGGCGGCGGCGGCTTCTTGCCCTGCCAGCACCAGCCCAAGTAATTGGGGGCAACTGGCCAGAGGAATCGGGGCGGGGAAGGGGGGGAGATCTCCATTTCCACGACACAAAATGGGAGCCGGTGGGCTGTCTCAGGGCCGGCTTTCCTTCCTGGGTGGACTGGAACGGGGACTCTCTGTCTACCCCAGTGGAGGTCTGGCCGCATCTGGGGGTCGAGGGGGTGGCCGGCGGTCCCGTCTTGCCCTTCCGTCGAGCGCTCTCGGTGGCAGGGCCGCTTTGTTCTTCGGGGAGGGGGGGGCTGAGGGAGGGGCCGGCCAGCTCTCCCCGTCCCCGCGCGAGCCCGGTCCTGTTTTCCACTCTGACGCCTGGAAAGGGCTTCAGGAGGGCGTCGGAGGTGGGAGGCCGTGGGCAAGGGCCCCGAGCACCGGCAGGCTCGGGAAGGGACCTGCTTATATGGCTTCAGAGTTGCCAAATCTGGGGGAAGGGTCTTTTTTCCAGCCGGTTCCTGCGGGATCGTCCCTTTTTCCTGCCCCGCCCTCTGCAATCAGATCTCGGCCTGGAAGCCCAGAGGAGCGCAAGGGACTCGGGGCAGCTTTCCTGCTAGTTAGTCTCTTCATCCGGCTGGTCTCCTTGATGCACCTTCTCTTGGAATCGGATCAGGCGGCAGGAGTGGCGGGGGGGGGCAGCATCCTGAGCCGAGGAATTAACTGAGCAGCCCCGAAAAGGAACGCCTCCTCTGGGTAGCGGCAGAGGACTACCGCTCTTGAAGTGCGCAAGGAACATGGTCTCGGGGTAGTTTTAGGTCGTTGGTGCAGGACGAATGTGCTGGGTCCCCTGTTCAGGTCGACGATGGCCATAGAATAGGCCAGAAGAGTTGTGCCAGCCCGTTGGAAAGTGAGGCATTATTTGCTGTTGCTTAGTACCTTTTGCTTGCTCTGCTGGGGTGATGCTGTCTGTAACCCTGAGTCACGTTGGGAGGTGAAGCCCTGGGACAGTTCCTCCAGGAACTTATTTCTGCAGGGAATGCAAGGTCACCCAGGAGTAAATTCTACACCCATGAGCTACTTGCATGTTACAGCCCTTGATTTTAGGGAGAAATCTGTTGCTTTAGCCAAGCCAAAACCTATAATTGTGGCCAGTTTGAGATGTGCTGGTAGCCGCTCTTCATTTATGTCATACTTGTTGTTCTCCTGTATAAACAACTAAACATTTTAGAGGCATTAGTGGAAAAGTCATGCAGCCTATTTTTGTGCACCTTAAACTGGCCACATTCTGTTGGCTTTAGAAGGCAGTACTTGATGACTCATAGTTTCTCTTTGGTTGATAGAGAACCAAGCCAAGAATTGTTATATGAAAATGTATAAAGCATGGCCATGCTAAACAATGATCTGGGTGCTTTATGGCTACTTTTCACAGAGTTGTGCTGACCCCTTTAGCCTAGCCTGTTGAAACTAGTCTCTCACTGCTGTATTTCCTAGCTGTTCCTCTATGCCTTGGCATTTTGCTGCAAAGAAGCTGCTGTATTCTTGGGATCTTGTAGATGCTCTCCCCCCCGTCCTCGGCCTTTATGCTGTGAGCATTCATCTTTCTCTTTCTGCGTGCTCTCAAGGGTTGGAGTATGAGATGTCACATGACAGTTGGGTGCAGTTTACACATGTTCTTTATACTTTGCTGGACCGATTCTGTCAATTTGTAGGTTCTCTTTTTTCACAAATCAAATATATAAACTTGTATGATCTTTCTGGTCTGGCATGCTGGGTGCTGATACAACAGTAAAACTAGCTACAGTGATTTTTCTTTCTTCTGCAGTGTGAGCTCATCTTTTTGTCTTATTAATACAAATGATAGAAAATAAGCTAGTTGAGTAGTTAATTCTATTCACAGTCATGAAGTTCAGCTAAGTCACTGCTTTCTGTTTTGCCAAGTCTTGCGTATCACTTTGTTCACTCAGGTCTAAATCCAGCTGGTACTCCCAACTAGCATAGTCTCATTAAACCTGTGGGATTTTTGTATGCATCGACTCACAATATAGCAGCTGGTTCAATGGGTCCAACTTTATGTGGGGCGAATAATTGGATTTATGCCTTAGAGACTTTTTGTTTCAAGAATTGTCATCGTCATTTAGTCATTTAGTCGTGTCCAACTCTTCGTGATCCCATGGACCAGAGCACGCCACGTCCTCCTATCTTCCACTGCCTCCCAGAAGTGTGTCAAATTAATGTTGGTTGCTTCGATAACACTGTTCATCCTCTGTTGTCCTCTTCTCCTCTTGCCCTCACACTTTCCTAACATCAAGGTCTTTTCCAAGGAGTCTTCTGTTCTCATGAGATGGCCAAAGTACTGGAGCCTCAGCTTCAGGATCTGTCCTTCCAGTGAGCGCTCAGGGTTGATTTCCTTTAGAATTGATAGGTTTGTTCTCCTTGCAATCCAGGGGACTTTCAAGAGCCTCCTCCAGCACCACAATTCAAAGGCATCAATTCTTCGGCGGCTTTCTTTATGGTCTTATGTTTTAAGAATAGTACATTATAAAGGTTGCAAAAACTATTTTGAGATTTGGAGTGGATAACATGAAGCAGATCCGTTATATTACAGCCACTAGATAAGCAGTGTTGTGGGTAGCCTCCTGTTGCCAATACTTGCTGAATTGGATTTTCCTGAGCTTGGCCCTTGAGCGAGAATTATTCGAATAGAACAGAGAGAGTGTACTTGCAGATCAGCCCCAATGTTCCATACATGTTGGGAAGGGTGGGTATTAAAACTTTACAGGCTTAAGATTTCCTTAGAAAACTGAAACTTAAATGATGTAGTGCTCCAAAGCTTGTTTGTTTGTTTATGTCAGGGATGGGCAATTAATTTCTATAGGAGGCTACATGAAAAATCTGAACTGTGTTCGGGGGCCGAACCAACTTTACTTAAAAATAAAATGAAACAGTGATGTTATGATTGTTGTTATTTTAAACTTATCAATCGTCACAAATACTAAAGAGTTTTTGGTGGTATGTTAAAGATAAGCAACTGATCAACTTTAGACAAAAAATTATAAATGGTTTGGATGTTCAAAACTGTCCGCAGGCCGGACAGGAGCGGCTCGCGGGCCGGATGTGGCCCTCGGGCCGCACTTTGCCCACGTCTGGTTTATACCCTTCTTTTTTCCTTAAAAAGAACCCAAGGCAGCTTACATCAGTAAAAGACAATATTTAAAACCTAAAAACGGTATGTATACAAATACTAAAAAGAATCATATTAAAGCACTAAATAAAATCAACGCCAAAGACACATTCAAAGCAACAAGCCATAATAGTCCATTTAAAAACCCCTCTCAGACAGACAGTCATTATGGGATAGCCTGCCTGAAGAGAAAGGTCTTCATCTCCTTGTGGAAGGACAGCAAAGATGGGGCTAACCTGGCCTTCTGTGGAGGGGAGTTCTAGAGTTTCGGAGCAGCAACAGAGAAGGCCCTCATCAAACAGACCTGTGAGGAAGGTGGTACCAAGAAAAAGGTCTCCCCTGATCTTAAAACTGGGCAGTCTTGTAAAGGGGGATGTGGTCTTTGAGATAGCTTGGATCCAAGTCATTAAGGGTTTTATAGGTTAAGACCAGCACTTTGAATTGTGCCCGGAAACTAATCAACAGCTAGTGGAGTTGATGTAACCAGAGGTTTAGGTGATCCCTGTGACCAGCCCTAGTCAGCTGGTGGATTCTGGACCCACTTAAATTTCCAAACACTTTCCAAAGACAGCCCACGTAGAGTGCATTGCAATAGTCCTGCTGGGACGTAACTAAGGCATATGTCGTCGTGATCAGATCAGACCTCTCCAGGAATGGGAGTAGTAGTAGCAGCAGCAGCAAAAATTACACCTTGTCACACTCAGTTATATTAGCAGAAAATTATGCTCTATTTTTGTTTTGTTTAAATTTGATTAAAAAAATATAAAAAGGAAATTCTTTAGAGTCTTCATTTTTGTAGAAGCTGCATTGCTGGTCTGCCAGAGAGGAATGATTAATTTATGACAATATAGCTTTCTTTGGAAACATGTCATTAAAGTGAGTACTGATTAGATCTTTCTGACCCTATGTAGTTGAGCCTAGAAGAGTTGTGTCCCTTGACTGCAACTCCCAGAATCCCCCAGCCACATGGAACTTGGAAAAGGTGGGTTTTTTGGATTACTACTCCCAGAATCATGGGAGGCAAGATTCTGGGAGTTGTAGTCCAAAAACATAAATACACCAGGCTTTGATAGGGACATATTTCTAGTTTAAAGAAAACCTGTACTCTACAATGAACACAGGGTGAATACATATCTTATCCTTACCCAGAAGAACAGGCAGTTTATGCCCCTCTATCTCTGAATAAATAGAACCGTACATTTTAAGAATATCTGAACATAGCTCTTGAATTGATTCTGCTTCCAACACCCAGGTTGCTTGTCTACCTCACTTTAAAAAATTGTATGGAGGTTGGGAAGGATTTGGTTGACAAAAGTTATGTAAGCAGGTGGGCAGAAAATAACTGAGCAAGCAATAGACGAGAAATGTCAATATTGTCATGCAGTCATGAGGGCCAGACAGTGGCCTTTCAAAAGGCTATTTTACATGAATTATCACATACTGTACTTTTAACTCTAGTGAAACTGCCTGGTTCATCATGACGTTTGGGAAACTGGTCCTCAAGACTGAGGCCTTGGAATTGCCACTCTCAATTTCCTGTTCACCTTTTGGAGAAAGTATCTATACCATTGGGGGGGGGGGAACCATCTGAAATATAACAGGTGTAGTGATTGATGGAGCAAAGGCTCCTCCCATATGTTCAGTCAAAGAAGTAGGAATTGAAGGTATAAGAAATTCATCAGGCAGTGCCAATGCACCCTCCTCACCATTTCAGTTTGCATTTAAAGTGACAGGTTTCAAATAATCTGGGATCTGTCTTCTGACATGGCTGAAATATCTGCAAATCTTTGACCCACTCTTTAAAGCAGTGTGTTAGTCTCCCAACCACTACATAAAAGGAAGCTTGGATTTTTTTTTCCTTAGGAGCAATGGGAATGAATGGGAGAAAGTCGGTGGCGGGCGGGGTGCACCTCCTTTTTCTCTCTCCATTATAGTTCCTCATTTCCACCTTTCTGTCTATGTTTATCTTCAAGACTTATGCAACAAGATAGTACCCTTTAGCTTCAGATTTCTTGAAGGCTTTATGCTTGCAATCACGTAAAAGCCACTTTTCTGCAGTTGGCAGATTTTGGTGAGAAAAAATTCCCAGGAACTCTGCAGCATCCTGCTGCAGGTGGAGGGATTCAGGTCTGATTCTCCTCCAAGAATGCAGATTTATGCAATATGTCAGGAAGACTTGGGGAAGAAGGCTGTGCTAACTGCTTCTCCAAAGTCATGGAGTGTTTGACTTAAAGGAAAACTGAGGCATTTAAAGATCTCCCTGAAAGAATGCAGCCAAAGCAAACCTTTGCCACTAGATTCTGTGGAGTGTAGAAACTGATGTTTACTCAGATTATAGTCTCATCACTACACTGATAGCACTTTCACTAGTATAAAGTGCTATCTTTTACTACCTTTGGAGAACTTTACATAAGAGTAAATAAGAATAGTTAAAATGCTTGAGAAACAACAAATGGAAGGAATTGAAAGTATGCTTTCTGGATTTAGAATCTATGTATATCTGATAGAGGTCTGTATTTGGGAGACAAAGAACGCTCAGGGGCTTTGAACTCTGAATCTTGCAACTTGGTGTAACTGCTCCCAGGGACCAGGATCCTCTTAGTTGCCCACTTTGGAGGGGTCTCTTCTCAGGACGAAATCATTCAGGACTTCAAGGGTGCTGCCATGGTTGCGAAATGAACATTGCCTTGGGGGAGGAAACTCTATATTGCTTCTCATAATTATCATTTGC